CTGTTGGGTGATGTACCTGTGCTGTTGGGTGATGTACCTGTGCTGTTGGGTGATGTGTTAATGAATAGGTTCCATTAAGACAATGACTCATTTTTATTGCAAATGTATAATTTCATTGAAAAAAAGCTATCTAATCACATGATCCATCTTTCCATCCATGTAACCACCTTTCATCAACCTTAGAACAGTCAAACTCCTGTTTTCCTATATGTCTGTTTACTTTATTGTGTATTCTACACATCCATTGAGAAAAGGTTTGCTGGTTACGAGTATCTGGTGGCTCTTCTTTAATCCTATAAAGAAAGATTAAAAAAAGATGGTGCTCAAGTTGGGTGTTAAATGAAATGAACTATGTTATACTTGGGGTGCATGTTACCTCATAGCTGCCCAAGGGCGGATCGGGGGGGGGGGGGGGGGGGGTGGGGGCAAAGCCCCCTTAGAAAACAAAAAGCAAAACGAAACTGAAGAATTAGATGCTTCTTTTTTATTGTTTTCCGTTGTGTTGATGGAAGAAACTCAATAATTTAGCCCCCCTAATCACAATTAGCCCCCCTAAAATTTTGGCTGGATCCACCCTTGCTGCCATGCATGCTGGTTGACTACAGTCAATTTTTAAAAAAACCTCGTTTGAGACTGGCCCAAGCCTGCACGAATGGACCAATAAAGAATAAGGGCAAAAAACACTGAAGAGGTTAAATATTCATTCTGAAATGGCGAAATGCATAAAGGGGGACTAGCACAAAAATTATCCAAATTTCAATTCAGCTGAAACTTTACTGGAATAACCCTTAAAGGTCTGATAATCACTCTCAACACAATCCAATTCAAACTTCCTTTGCAAGTCCTTGCTAAGTCTTTGCTTCTTTTGGGAGATGTCCATTTGAATACTGGACCGAAGTACAAATGAAGGGGTGAAAATGAAAATGGCCTAGTAAGTGACTTTTTGGGATATCTTTATCCTGAACCAAAGTACAATTAATATCCTTGTGGAATATGTTGCAAGCCACTTAAACTAAATCAAAGAGGAGTCCAGTGTGATTCTTGCAATTCCTGTAACCAAGCTGGTGGTATCCAAATGAGTTCACTCTACTACAATTCTCTGGGTAACTTATCTTGTTTATAGATTTGTCCTGTTTGTGATGAACCTAATTATTCCACTACTCTACCTGGAAATTCTATTTGTACAAATGACTGTTCAAATTTTTTTGAACCGCTTTCTTCTCGTGGAGAAACATTTTTGGTTTGCAGTAGTTCTACTCCTATAAACAAGCCAGTATTGAATAATAAGCCATGGAAAAAATCAACAACTAAGTCTAAAGCTCGTCCAAAGCTCCATCGCTTGCTTCTAAATTGCTGAAGTGTTAGGAACAAATGACCAGCCTTAGAACAAGTAATTGCTGAACATAAACCAGATATTATTCTGGGGACAGAATCATGGCTTAGAGAAGAAATATCCAATGGTGAAATATTTCCATCTAATAATAATATATTTACTAGAAAGGACCGATCGTCAGAAACACGGGGAGGAGGTGGTTTTCGAGCAATCAAGACTGATCTTTTAGCATCCTATAAGCAAGACCTCGATTCTAACTGTGACTGCATTTGGACGCATATGCCAATTCTTTGGTTGTCAATCTCTACTATTTGGAACTTCCTAGATAATCCTGATGGAAGCATCTCTAGTTTGGAGAGAATCAAAGAATCCTTGTCAAAGGTTGGCCACAAAATTGACAGTCATGATGTAATCTTAGCAGGTGATTTTAACATCCATTTTAACATAATAATATTAATGTTCAAGATAGCACATGGTATCATTACAACTGATAAATCTAGCTAAGAACTTGCAAAAGAAACTAGATCTTTGAGGTGCACATAAATTTAAATATCAAAGTATTAAGACAAATAAGGACGTACATAAATTTTCTTATTTTCCAAGATCTATTATTGAATGGAACAGTTTACCTCCCTATATTGTGCAGGCTGACTCCCTTCAGATTTTTTAAGTTGAATTATCAGAATATATATTAGAAATTAGTTTTTGATTTGGTATGTCAATTATTGTTTTTTTATATTTCACATTTTTAAGTTTTATATTATGTGTATATAGATATTTTTTTCCAAATTATTTATTTTGTTATTTATATTATTATTATTATCATTATTCATATAGTTTTAATTTTTTCCATAGTTAGCGTGATAATTTTCTAAAGTTTTTGCTGACAAAATAAAAAATAGATATAGATAACTTGTTAAAGTTTTTCCTGATATTAGGATGGGAATTATTGTATTTGAGTCTGTGACGTCATACACTCGACACTAAACATTGCTCCACACATTTCTTTGTATTTTGTAATCAAAATATCTTCAAGTTTTATACTCAGTATTGAAGAAAAGATACCATATAATGATTCTAAATACAAGTAATGTATGTTAAGTCCCTAAGCGGACCTTTGGGCTTAATAGAAATGAAGTAAAACATGAAGTTCTTTACAAGTTATTTGGGTTTTGTGAATGGAAAACTAAGTCTTTATGACTTGTCTTCAGTTAAAGATGATAATAACTTAATAACTGTAAAGTTATAGTTGCTAATGAAGGTAAATACTCGCCTGTAAGCCCTTGGCATATCTAATCAGATATTTAAAAAAACCTTTATTACTTAGCTACTCAAACAACTTTTCAGACTAGTTGCATAGGCTTGAGACAGGTAAATAATAATGTTTTGAGTTGACTGTATATAGCAAGCAGTTGTATAATAYTCCTTTTTACAGTTCCATTCAGTGACCATGAATAATAGTTCCTAGCCGASGCTGGAGTTACCGCGCATGATAAACTGTAGTTTTGCTATGCGCAGAAACTCCAGCCTCGGCTAGGAACTTAATTATTTGTTGTCACTGAATGGAACTGTAAAAAGGAGTATTGCCCCTTTATTAATGTATTTCAACTTACTTCTCTCTAAGATGTGAAGAACATTCATTACAAGGAAAGAACTGTGAAAAGATTTGAATAAATTGTTCCATGTCTTTTTGCTGACTGTTAGTTGGTTTTTCAGGATAATAAGCTGCCATTGTATGAAGAAATCCCCAAGTAGAGCGGCCTAATTCTTCTCTATCCAATGGACATTCTTTGCTGTTTTCTTCAGCTTTTACTTCTGATGTTTTTTGTTGTTTCTGATTAAAATCAAATTGAATTATTTACCAATTCAATGCCTAGGGAAAATAATAATTTGAAAAATATTCTACTAGACAAAGATGCCAGTCTGAGGATTATGCATTCTAATAACAATAACAAACAGCAAGAAGGCTGACCTGGGAAGTTAACCAATTTCAGTTTTTAAATTGAGAAAAACTAAAAACTACAGTAAAGGTGCTGACACACGGTGCAACATTTTTATTTTTTTTTTATAAATAAAATTTAAAAAAAAAGATTAAAACAACATAGCACGCAACATTGCAAGCAACAAATTTGAATCGGGGTGACACACATTGCAACAAAATTACGCAACATCACTTGTGTCAGCCTGCTATGTTAAGATATTGGGTTGGGTCGGTGTCCACTGGTAGAACGAAGCTTGGAATTGGACAAAATAACAAAAACAAAGAAAGCATGGATTATGGTTAACAATGTGTATTGTTCTACATGTGAGCTGCGTTCTCTGTTTTATCTCACCATTCATTGTTTGTTCATCCACTCACAGGCTTCGTTCTGCCGGTTGTTGATTACCCATTGGGTCAGCAGTTATAAATTTGGTGCAAGCTGATTTGCTGGAAATTTCAAAATGTTGCAGGTAATGTTACAGCCATGTTAACATGATGAAATTTGTTGCGCACAATGTTGGAAGAGTAGAGAGCGATTTAACTTCAGATTTGTTGCATGCAACATTGCGTGCAACAAGTTTGGGGTAGACACATGCTGCAACAATCCTGTTGCATACAATGTTGCACCGTGTGTCCATCCGTACCTTAACAAGCACGGTTTAGCTCCCTATATAGACCTGTTGGACTAGCCTGACTTTTGTGAACTACTAAAACTACAACGAAATTTGAGCAGACATGGGTTGTGGAGAGAAATTATTGGATAAACATTTAGTGAAGTAGTTGTCATTCAAGAAAGTGGCTAGTCCAACGGTAACAGTCCAACAGAGGTATATAACAGGAGATAAAGTCGTTTTATAAGATATGACGGAGCTTCTGAAAGACCCAGTGTTATCRATACCTAAGGGAAAAATTTTGGCTGATTAAAGCCAAAGTATGGCAAACTCACAGACTGAATAGAAAAGAATGAGAGATTAGTAAAATGAAGTAAAAAATAACTATAAAACAAACACATTCGGCTTAATTGGTCACAGCTGCTTTCCTCAGTCTACAAAACCAGTTCATGTCACATTGATAGGCAGCCAGTGTTGACTAGTAAACATTATTACCTCATCCTGATTACTGTTTACTTGGCTTCTCATCCAAGATTTAAAACTTGTACAAGCTCTACAGGGTTTTTTACCATGGAGAGGTGAAAGACTTTCTTCGGCGTCCGCCATTTTGGATAACAATCATGCGAAACCACAGGTAACCCAAACCTATAAAAATTCACGTACAATGTCTTTGTTTGACTATATGGGAACCCAGTGAGCAAAATCACAGGTAGCCCAAGCTTGGTTTCTGTGGTGTCCTATTATAAGGAAATATATGGAGATTCATAATCTCTCATTTCTTACTGGTGGGGGAAAAAGTCTTAAAACGGGCTAAATTCAAAAAATAACCACGCAGAGCCAAAGAAGTGCTATTTCTCAATGATCGGGTAATATTTCGGGGCTTTATTTCACGTTTCAATGGGATTTTATTTAAATTTTTTATGAATCTCCATACATTTCCTTATAATAGGACACCACAGAAACCAAGCTTGGGCTAACTGTGGCAAAATTGACCTATTTCACTATGACGTCACGTCAAAACAATCTATTGTTTAAGCGCAAAGGATCATGGTCGTTGGAGGGGGTCAACTCAACGCAAATTAACCGAAACTTGTTCTAAAACCYGTATCAATCCACGAAGAGAAGTAGAATAGCCAGCAAACTCTCAGAATATTTTTTAGTACATATTTAACACATATTATATCTGAAAACCAGACCATTTTAGATTAAACTGTTTCGCTAGGAGCAAATTTTGTTGAATTTTCTATTGGATTTGGTGATTCTATCCCCCACATAARCAAGCAGTGACGTCATAGTGAAATAGGTGCAATGGTGTTGCTCCTTTCTAGATACCAGGATAAATATGCTGTCTGTTAGAGCTTGTTTCGGAAGTCCGAAATAATATCAATTTTGTGCATCAATTATATGTAAGCAAACATTAGATGGCATTATTTTAAATTCAGACTTCTGAAAATTAGCTCTAAGGGATTTGTCAGAAATTAGCGGGGGGGAGGGGGTGGGAATTTTTAATTTGGGGTTGGAAATGGGGTGACCCATCCAAATATGACGTCACACAAACCACGTGTCATTTCGTACTGATTTACTTTTTATAGAAATCAAGCGATATGGCGGAAAAGGTAGGTGTAAGTATAAAGAAATGAGGGTGTTTATCCCTTTACTACAATAGTTTCCATCGATGTTTTATATTTTTTATTGCTAAATAATTATTTAAAATCATGGATCATTAAGATTAATTTTGAATATAATGACATGTACTCTATAAATACCTGTATTTATGCATCTTGCAGCACTTTACAGTGTGATAGCTAYCAAAATTCAATGCACTTTTTATATTGTGTTATTGTATTTGTGCTGTCAGTAATAAGTAAGTAAAACAAGGCCACAAACACGATATTTGTGTAAGACTGAAGTCTGAAGTCTGAAGTCCCTTCAGGGCTTATAAATTCATTTTACTATAATTATTTAGCAATAAAACATAAAACATCGATGGAAACTATTGTAGTAAAAGGATAAAAACCCTCATTTCTTTATACTCACACCTACCTTTTCGGCCATGTTGCTTAACCTTACTTGTTGGAGTTTTCTCAAAATCGTATCCGGCTGCCGGACCCGGAGACACTGAGTACTTATTTGCATATTTCATGAGACATTTTGGTAAAAATACAAAAAAAGTCCGAGGTTGATGTGAAGAAGATAGATAATGAATCCACTTTTATCAACCTTCGATCAGTAGATTGAAGTAAAAAACTTAAGTAATGTGTTCTGGACTTGGAGATAAAAGCTCTTTAGTGAAGGGTGGTTTGTCTTGATTTCAAAAAGCCGTCAAATGGATATGAATACTTATTTTTCTCTTTTTTCCCTTTCAGAATTTTGCTTATTTTTGACGCTAGAATGAATGTAAGAGTCAGGAAAAATAATAATTTGTTCCAGCGTTTTATATTTGCGAGCAGTGACGACTTTAATATGGGCAATTTTCAATTGATAATAAATGCAAATTTAGTGATAACGGTGGTCCAGGATTTATGCGCTGTAAAAAAATCATTTTGATGAATTTCGAGAAAATAAAGTCATTATCATTACCTACTAGTAATTATCTTTCTATGGTAAAAGTTTGAGGGAAAACTATTTTCTGACCCGAAATGCAGTGGGCCGCTTTTACAGAGGCTGCCTCTTATAACAAGCTTAATTAGGAGTGGTTATGACTGAGCTTCGAGGGTCTTCACTGACTACCATGACTAATTCACATCCATTGAAAGGACTTTTTTCTTAATCAAAAAGTTACATGTATGCTTGGATCAACGCAAAACAAAACAAAAATAATTAAAAATAGAAAATTATAGAAAAATAAATGCCCTCCAGATTTTCAATGTTTTGTTGGACTTTCTGAAAAAACTTTAGTTCATATAAAGAATTATTTTCTAGAGAAACTTCAAGCCATTTTCATTGGATTGATAAGTTAGTTTACTTCATAGAATAGAAAATTTACGGTCAAAAGCTTGATTGAGTAGGTATCATGTTTAGGTCACCCATCTAAATACTAACCCCCCTCTGCCGGGCTTGACTCGGTATCAGTGAGGCGATGCTCATGGGTTTTCCACTGAGCCAAGAATCTAAGGAATCAGCATAACAATAGGCTGTGAAAACAATGCACCAGATAGACTAGACTTTTTGACATTATTATTTTAACCGATTCCGTGCGTGGCAGAGATGCAAGGGATTAGCCGAGATGGTCTGGGGGCCGGCTGGTCTCTCCCCTGATGCTTCGGCTAGAACATTTTCTTGCGTAATTCGTACACCCAAGGGCAGAAGGATTTAATCGCCGTCAGGTCCGAAGTCCATACG